TTAAGAGCAGTGATGTTTGTTAGTTTCTTAGGGAAGCTCTTAACAGATAGGAAGACTGTACAAGTGTTTGCTGAATTAGTAAACAATTGAGAACCTCTCTGTGTCCCCCAGAGCCTGCTTAGCTGTAGGAAAGCAGAGAGCAATCCTTCTCTAGATGCATACGTTACAATGTATTGAGATCATCTTTCTTTTTTTCCCTATTTTTTAAAAACAATCTCAATAAAACGATTTTTATTTTATATACCAATCTCAGTTCCCCCTCTGTCCCCTCCTCCCACTATCCTCATCCCCCCCCCCATTGTCTCCTCAGAAAGGGTTAGGCCTCCCATGGGGAGTCAACAGAGTCTCTCACATCCCTTTGAGGCAGGACCAAGGCCCTCTCTCCTGTACATAGGCTGAACAAGGAATCCCTCCTTAGGGACTGGAAGGTCCTTGTTCACAATTTCTCTGAAGTTCTTTGAGGACAAAGTGTTTCCAGCACCTTGCAGATTTACATTTTATATATTTTTTGAGAAAATTCAAGCTGAGTGTGGTGCTGTACACCTGTCATCCCAGTGTTTAGAAGGCAGGGACAGGAGAGTCACCATTGTGAGACTATCCTCAGTGACATACATAGCTTAATTTTGTTTCAAACAAAAATCAAAACACACAGTAACATTTAAAAACCCAAACAAAAGTAAATAAAAATAAATCATTCTATGGTAATTCTAAAATATATGGTAAAATGTCGGCCAGATCATAAATATTTATTATGGTGGAATATATTAGCAAATTCTTCATCAATAATAAATGTATTGATATGTATGTTTTTTTCTTTCTTAATCGAGTCTTTGTGTGAGTTCAGTATCAGAGTAATTGTAGACTCATAGACAGAGTTTGGCAATGTTCCTTCTGTTTTTATCATGTGGAACATTTTGAGCAGTATAGGTATTAGCTCTTCTTTGAAGTTCTGGTAGAATTCTTCACTGAAACCATCTGGCCCTAGTTTTTTTGTTATTGTTATTGTTTTTTTTTTTTTTTTTTTTTTTTTTTTTTTTTTTTTTTTTTTTTTNTTTTTTTTTTTTTTTTTTTTTTTTTTTTTTTTTTTTTTTTTTTTTTTTTTTTTTTTTTTTTTTTTTTTGGTTGGGAGGCTTTTGATGACTGTTTCTATTTCCTTTCAGGTTATAGGTCTATTTAAATTGTTCACTTGGTCTTGATTTAATTTTGTCCATTTATTTTATATTTTCCAATTTTGTGGAGTACAGGTTTTTGTAGTATGACCTAATGATTCTCTGAATTTCCTCAGTGTCTGTTTTTATGTCCCCCTTTTTATTTCTGCTTTTGTTAATTTGAATGTTCTTCCTCTGCCTTTTAGTTAGTTTGGATAATGGTTTGTCTATCTTGTTGATTTTCTCAAACAGCCAGCTTTTTGTTTCATTGATTCTTTGTATTTTTTTTTGTTTATATTTTATTGATTTCAGCCCTCAATTTGAGTATTTCTTTTCATCTACTTCTCCTGGGTGAGTTTGCTTTTTTTCCCCTAAAGCTTTCAGTTGTGCTGTTTAGTCATTAACGCGAGATTTCTCCACATTCTTTATGTAGGCACTTAGTGCTATGAACTTTCCTCTTAGCACTGCTTTCATAGTGTCCCATAGGTTTGGGTAGGTTGTGCCTTCCTTTTCGTTGAATTCTAGCAAATCTTTCTTTCTTTCTTCCTTGACCCAGGGGTGATTCAACAGAGCAATGTTCAATTTCTATGAATTTGTAGGCTTTCTGCGATTTTTGCAGCTAAATTCTAACTTTAAACCATAATGATCCTATAAGATGTAGGTTTTTTTTTCTAATTTTTTGTATCTGTTGAGGTTTGCTTTGTTATTGAGTATGTGATCAATTTTAGAGAATGTTCCATGAGGTGTTGAGAAGAAGATATATTCTTTTGTGCTTGGGTGGAATGTTCTTTAGATGTCTGTTAAGTTCACTTGAGTCATGACATCTGTTAGTTCCTTCATTTCTCTGTTAAGTTTCTGTCTGGGTAACCTGTCCATTGGGGAGAGTGGGATGTTGAAATCTAATATTAGTGTGTGTGGGTTTGATGTGCGATTTAAGCTTTAGTAATATTTCTTTTACATATGTGGGTGTTCTTATATTTGGGGTATAGATTTTTAGGATTGAGACTTCATCTTGATAGATTGTTCTGGTTATGAGTATAAAGTGTCATTCTCCATCTCTTCTGATTGATTTTAGTTTGAAGTCTATTTTGTTCGATATTAGGATAGCTACACCTGCTTGTTTCTTAGGCCAATTTGATTGGAAAATCTTTTCCCAACCCTTTACTCTGAGGTGAGGTAATGCCTGTCTTTGAGGTTGAGTTGTATTTCTTGTATACAGTGAAAGAATGAATCCTGTTTAGTATCCATTTTTTTAGCCCGTGTCTTTTATTTTTTTTAAAGAACTAATTTATTTATTCATTTCCCCCCATTTTTAGTTCACGGAAAATTTATTTTTATAGACACTGAGGCAAAAACTTCTGAGAATTGTTTCCTGTTCTTATCACACTGTGTATCAAATCTATTTACTAATAATGTTGATTCCACATAAAAAGCATAACCAAAGGAACACTTGTTGTCTCTGTACAAGGGTCATAACCTAGTACCTTGAATCAGTGAAGCTTTCCACATGTATCCTTCACTTCATCACATTCAGTTTGTGACAGAGTAAAGATTTTGCAATTATATTAAGTTTACATAAACAAATCATGTAGTAAAGAGGGCGTCGGGCTGCGTTCCTGGTGCCTGGCCGCTTGGCTAGCTTACACCTGAAATAATTACATGGAAACTGTATTCATTTAAACACTGCCTGGCCCATTATATCTAGCTTCTTCTTGTCTAATTCTTACGTATTCATTTAACCCATCTCATTAATGCGTATCGCTGCTTGACTGTGGCTTACCGGCATGAGTCTAACCAGCGTCTGTCTCAAAGAGGAGAGCCATGGCGTCTGCCACACTGCCCTCTTCCTCCCAGGATCCAGTCCTGTCTTCCCTGCCTATCTAAGTTCTGCCCTATCAAAAGGCCTAGGCAGTTATTTGACCAATGAAGGCAGCACATAGAAAAAAGACCCTCCTACACCAAAATCACATAGATCACAGTGTATATTTCTTTGGTGGCCTTTGACTAGTCACCCTTCATTCACATACTCAGGAGTTTCTATCCCTGTTATTCTTAGGTTTGGTCTTTTCATGGGTCCCAGATTTCCTGGATGTTTTATGTTAAGAATTTGTTGAATGTAATGTTTTCTTTGACCAATGAATCTATTTCCTCTATAGTATCTTTAATACCTTAGATTCTCTCTTCCATCTCTTGTATTTTGTTGGTTATGCATGCCTCTGAAGTTCCCATTCATTTACCCAAATTTTCCATAGCCAGAACTCCCTTGGTTTATGTTTTCTTTATTGCCTCTGTTTCAGTCTTCAAGTCTTGAACTGTTTGAACTGTTCGCTTCACCTGTTTGATTATTTTTTCTTGGTTTTCTTTGAGAGAGATATTGGTTTCTTCCATTTTTTGTTTTTCTTTTCCTCCATTTCTTTAAGGGAATTTTTCATTTCCTCTTTAAAGCTCTCCAACATCCTTGTTGTTAAAGGTAACAACATAAAGTTACGTTTTCTTCTGCTTCTTCTGGGTTAGGATGATTAAATCTTTCCGTTGTATTGGGTTCTGGTGTTACCATGTTGCTTTTTAGGTTTTTGGATGAATTCTTGCATTGGCACCTTCCCATCTCTTCCTCAAATTGGTACCAGCAGTGTCTTTGCCTCTTGGTCTAATCCTTGCAGTGGTTAGACAACCAGTCTTTGGGAGCTGTTCTTGGCCTGCTCTGTACTGTCACTCTCGTCTCAGGGAGCCACTGAGGTCTCTCTTGGCCCTCTCTTTTGTCTTTCTGTCTTGATCTGCTCTCTTGGTTTGATCTCTTGGTCCACTCTGTATAGTCACAGCTTGTGTTTCAAAGTTCATCTGTTGGTCCTCTCTCTTGTTCCTCTGTTTTGGTCCTCTCTGTGTAGTTGCAGCATGTGCTTCAGAATTCCTTTGAGGTTGCAGGGTTAGGGCATAGAAGGGCTTGGGGGCAGAGTGGAACTTGTAGCTTGTAGAGTCTGATGGATGGAGTGGTGTTATTGGAGCAGACTACATGCAGGATGCTTGCCTGCTGACTGACTAGAGAAGCTGAGGCAGGTGGGGGAGGGCCCAAGGTTTGTCCCAGTATAGAAGGCCTAGAGAGTGGGGTAGCCCACAGGGTGGGTGATTACTCACCTCTTGATCCTCTCTCTATGTAGCAGCAGGCTGCATTTAAGAGTTCCACTGAGCCTGCAGGGGTATAGGAGGGCTTGGGAGTGGAGTGGGACTGGTAGCTTACAGGGTCTGATGGATGGGATAGGGCTATTGAAGCTATTAGCATATACTGGATATGTGCTGGCAAAAGGATCATGAGATCATAAATATATTTTAAAAAGGGTTTGCATGATTTTATATCTTGTCCAATTTGATACCAGTTATATATCTGTACATTGTAGCGTCTCTCTTTGTAACCTAGGCTAGCTTTGAACTTGTGATTACTCTGCTTAGCTTCCTAAATGCTGAGATTGCAGACATACACTATGATATCTGGTTATTAGTTGTTTGTTTTTGCTGGAATTTTTATCCTTATTTTGTGTGTGTATATGTTAAATCACATGTTTGAAAATCTTTTATTTTATGTGTATAAGTGTTTTGCCTGAACATATGTGTGTGTGTGTGTGTGTGTGTGTGTGTGTATGAACTATATGTGTGTGTTTCTGAGAAGGCCAGAGAGGACAGATCCCCGGGATTAGATGTTGCAGAAAGCTGTAAGCAGCCATGTGGTTACGGGGACCTGAATGCAGGAACCCTGCAAGAGCAGCAAATGCTCTCAAGCACTGAGCCACCACCCCAGCTCCCATGTTTTGTTTTCTAATAACACTTTTGCTGATTTCTGTTTTTCATAATTTAACTCAGGTGTAATGTCTTTGCTGAGGCCTCTTCTTCTGGATGTGGTCCCAACAATTCAGCAGACTGCTGCTTTGGCTCTGGGGAGATTGGCCAATTACAATGATGACTTAGCAGAAGCAGTTGTGAAGGGCGACATTCTTCCACAGCTTGTTTATTCATTGGCAGAACAAAATGTAAGAATTTTTTCAAAAATAATTTATGTATTTTTGGCTTTAGATAAAATATGACAATTTTGTCACACAGTTGTGCGTTTGAAGGCATTGGGATGATTATATTATTTTGATGTGGGTGTGCTAGGCAGCTTCTTTCCATCATTGTTAATTTTGGGCAGTATGTAAAAGAATTTTTGCAAGGCATGCATAAAGTAGTGTGTGTGTACATAGGAGCTTTGAACAGAGCTGTAGGTTCTATCTGAGGGAAGAGTGTAAAAGCCCTAGGTGAGTAAACTCTTTCTGCCATCCTTATATGAAGGTGGTTAGTGGGAAGAGTAAGTCCTGAAGGGAGAGAACACCTCTAATGAAAGTTTTGATAAGCATTTTTTTTTACTAAGTAGATAGCATTTCAAGTCATTAAATAAACCCTCTGGATGTGTCCACCCTCACCCCATATGGTGCAGTGTTTTTTCTCTACGGTGTTGTCAATTTAGTTTATACAATAGTTAAGAATTTAAGCATTTTAAACCATCCATTACCCTCCATTAATTTATCATAACCTAAATATGACACTAACTTTTCTTGATATCTTTAAGACTAAATTTCTATTTGCATAATGAAACATAGCTCAACTGAAAAGTGGGCAAAAGACTTGAATATTTTCCCAAAGAAAATTCATAAACAGTTAACAAGCAAGTGCAAAGAATCTCCACGGCATTAACAATTAAAGCTAGAAATCAACCCTCAACGGGTAACCCCTCATATCTACTAAGATGACCATATTGAAAATAATAAAAAGGAAATAAGTATCAGTGATGATGAGGAAAAATATAAGCCATGTGGTGTTGGTTGGCATGTGAAACGGTACAGTTGCTGTGGCAAACGAGTTGGCAACATGAATAAGATCAGTGTATTTATCATCTCATGGGGCCACTTCCCTTCCCAGCGTACACCCAAAGCACTAAAACATTGTGGCACATGTTCAGACAGCACTACTCAGCGGTCTGTGTGGAAACAGCACAAAGCCATCAATAACTGCATAGCTAAACAAAGTACTGTATCTGTACAACAGACTGAAGCACTGATAAATGTGATATTTATGATTTCAAAACAATTTTATCAGGGAATCCAAAAGATGGCTCAGTGGTTAGATCACATACTCCACAGAGACTTATTCTTACTTAAGAATGCCTGGCCTTATCTTGGCTTGTCTTGGCTTGTTTCTAGCCAGCTTTTCTTTCTTTCTTTCTTTCTTTCTTTCTTTCTTTCTTTCTTTCTTTCTTTCTTTCTTTCTTTCTTTCTTTCTTTCTTCCTTCCTTCCTTCCTTCCTTCCTTCCTTCCTTCCTTCCTTCCTTCCTCTCTTCTTTATTTTTTCTTTCTTTTTTATTGAAATTTCCACCTCCCCCCCCCCCCCCCCCCCCCCGCCCCAGTCCAAGGAGCAGTCAGGGTTCTCTACCCTATGGGAAGTCCAAGGTCCTCTCCCCTCCACCCAGGTCTAGGAAGGTGAGCATCCAAACAGACTAGGCTCCCACAAAGCCAGTACATGCAGTAGAATCAAAACCCAGCACCATTGTCCTTGGCTTCTCCGTCAGCCTCCACCGTCAGCCACATTCAGAGAGTCCTATTTGATCCCATGCTCCATCAGTTCCAGTCTAACTGGCCTTGGTGATCTCCCATTAGATCAGTCCCATTGTCTCAGTGAGTGGATGCACCCCTTGTGGTCCTGACTTTCTTGCTCATGTTCTCCCTCCTTCTGCTCCTCATTTGGACCTTGGGAGCTCAGTCCAGTGCTCCAATGTGGGTCTCTGTCTCTATCTCCATCCATCGCCAGATGAAAGTTCTATGGTGATATGCAAGATATTCATCAGTGTGGCTATAGGATAAGGCCAGTTCAGGCTCCCTCTCCTCTGCTGCCCAAGGAACAAGCTGGGGACATCCCCTTGGACACCAGGCAACCCCTCTAGAGTCAAGTCTCTTGCCAACCCTAAAATGGCTCCCTTAATTAAGATATCTACTTCCCTGCCCTCACATCCACCCCTCCTCCATCCCAACCATCCCATCCCCTCAAGCTCTCCCCATCCTCCCCTTCTCCCTTTTCTCTCCCCATCTCCCCTTATCCCCACCCCACCCCCACCCCTGCACTCCCAACCCCTGTCTGGCAATCTTGTCCACTTCCAATATCCAGGAGGATAACTATATGTTTTTCTTTGGGTTCACCTTCTTATTTAGTTTCTCTAGGATCACGAATTATAGACTCCATGTCCTTTATTTATGGCGAGAGTCCACTTATGAGTGATTACATACCATATTCATCTTTTTGGGTCTGGGTTACCTCACTCAGGATAGTGTTTTCTATTTCCATCCATTTGCATGCAAAATTCAAGATGTCATTGTTTTTTTTACCACTGAGTAGAACTCTAAAGTGTATATGTGCCACACCTTCTTCATCCAGTCTTCTATTGAGGGACACCTAGGTTGTTTCCAGATTCTGCTAGCCAGCTTTTCTAACTTCAGTGATCCCATTTCTCTTTAACTACATTTTGCTCCTGGGCTTTTTACCTTTCTTTATTATATATATTTCTTTCTTTCCTCCTTACACCGTGACAGGCTGTGTGACTGTGTGCCTGGCCCCTGGTATCCTCCTCTCCTTGTTCTTCTCTTCCCTAGATTTCTCCTATTTATTCTCTCTGCATGTTAGCCCTGGCTGTTTCTCTTTCCTGTCTGCTATTGGCCATTAAACTCTTTATTAGGCCAATCATGTGTTTTAGGCAGGTAAAATAACACGGCTTTGCAGGGTTAAAGAAATGCAACATAAAAGAATGCAACACATCTATGCATCACTAAACAAGTATTCCACAGCATAAATGAATGTAACACATTTTAAACTAATATTCCACAATTCTGTTCAGAATTGTTATTGACTGTTCAGGGCTTTTTTTCTATTTACAAATGAAATTTATGATTATTCTTTTCAATTTCTTTAAAGAATTACTTTGGATTGAATTTATAAATTGCTTTTGGTGAAATGGCCACTTTCACAATAGTCATGAATATAGAAGGTCTTTCCATTTTCTTGTGTCTTCTTCATTTTCTTTCTTTGAAGTCTTAGAGTTTTAATTATAAAATATTTTCATTTCCTTAGATTTATTCCAAGTTTTTTTGAGACAATTGTGAAGGAAATGGTTCCCTGCTTTTTTTGGGGTATGTTTGTCCATTTGTACATAGGAAGGCCACTGATTTTTGCATGTTAATTTTGTAAATCTCTACTTTGTAGGTTTATTACTGGTGGAGTATTTGCTTTTATGTATAAGATCATATCACATACAAATAAAAGTAATTTGACTTATTTTTCTACTAGTATCCTTATTTCATTCACTTTTCCTATTGCTTTAGCTCAAACTTCAAGTACTATGTTGAGGAAGAATAGAGAGATTGGATATGTTGTCTTAGTCTTGATTTTGTGGAAATGTTTGAGTTTTTTTTCAATTTTTATGATGTTGCTTTCTGTTGTTTGTGTATTGCCTTTGTTATGTTGAACTACATACTCTATATCCCTATATCCTCTAAGACTTCTATCCTGGAGTGATGTTGGGGTTTGTCAAAGGCATTTTCTGCATCTAGTGAGATGACCATGTGGTTTCTGACTTTATTTTGTTTATGTGGTGGATTACATTTATTTATTTATGTATGTTGTTGAACCACCTCTGCAATTCTTGGGTAAAGAGAACTTGACCATGTGGATAATCTTCTTATATGTTTTTAAATTCAATTTGCAAGTATAACATTGAGAATTTTTGCGTCTATATTCTTAACGAGTATTGGAGACATCTGGATTGGTATCAAGGTCTGGATTGGTATCAAGGTAATGATGACTTCATAAAAAGCATGTTCAACAATGTTTCCATCTTCAGCTGGCTTCCTTTTTAATTTTGTTGAATCTTAATTTTTGCTTTTATGGGTTTATTTTAATTACTTAGCTCATCTTACTTTTATTTTAATATAATTTAATAATTTATATATTTAAAACCTTATCAATTTCTCTTAGATTTTTCCAGTTTGGTGGAATATAGATTTCTAGACTATGTCTTTATGTGTCTCTTAATTTGCTCAGTATCTGTTGAAATGTTTCCATTTTCATCTCTAATTTTATTTGAATCTTCTCTCTCTTTTGATTAATTTGGCTAAAGATTTCTCAATCTTGTTAATCTTTTCCAAAAACTCAACTAGTCTTCCTTTAATTGATTTTTTGTTCCATTTTATTAGTTTTAGTCCTGACTTTTATTATCTCTTCTCATTTACTTGTTTTGGGCACCATTTGTTCTGGTTTCCCAAGGCCTTTAAGTAACATTAAGTTATTAATATGAGATCTCTCCATTTTTAAATGTAGGCACTTAATGTTATAAACCTTCCTCATAGGGAAGCCTTCATTTTGTTCCATAGATTTTGGATATTATGTTATTATTTTCATTATGTTTTAGGAACTTTTAAATTTCTTTTTTGATTTATTCCCTTATGCAACTTTCATTGAGTAGTGTTCCATGACTTCTTATACTTTCTGTCATTTCTACTATTGTTGATATCTAGTTTTGTTTCTCTGTGGTTAGACCTTAAACAGGATTCAATTTCAATTTTTTAAATTTCTTGAGACTTGCTTTGGATTTTGTGTGGCTTGAACTTTTACACATTTTGTGCATTCTGTCACAGTCTCTGTGTTCATAAGCGCAATAATCCTACTGTATCTGGAAAATGCATGAAATCTTCCTGCTTCTCTTCCATGTAGACCCCTGAGCCTTGAGGGGAGGGAGTCGATAAAGACGTCTGTTTAGAAGCGGTTGAGTGGTCCAAGGTCTCTCACTGTCTACAAATTCGAGTCTTGCGGTAGATGGGAATTAATAAGAAGACTGCACTGTCTGTGGTATAATCTGCAGTACATCATTAGGGGTCATTTTATTGCTATGTTCATTTAGTGGAATGAGAGTAGATGTTTTCCCTAGTGTTGACATAAAAACTACAGCTCTCTT